ACCACCTCCTACCATTCCGCCACCACCCGTCATCCCACCGGCTCCAGTCATACCACCACCCGTCATCCCACCGCCTCCGACCATGCCTCCACCCACCATTCCGCCGCCTCCAACCGTGGCACCACCCGCCATCCCGCCACCCCCGACCATGCCTCCACCTGTCATTCCACCACCTCCAGCCATCCCACCAGCTCCAACAGCGCCGCCTCCACCCATTCCACCAGCCCCAACACCGCCACCTCCTCCAGTCATACCTCCAGCTCCAACGCCAAGTCCACCCCCTATATTTCCCCCTCCGACTCCAATATTTGTTCCGCCTGCTCCTACCATACCCCCCGCGCCTCCGATGCCACCTCCAATGCTTCCCCCTACCCCGCCAGTAACTCCTGTTGACGCTCCTAGGGAAAATTAAAAAATAAATGAGAACAACAGATTATAATTTCTCGAGCATCTGTTTAGTAACAGAAACTTATAACGACGAAATTTGATTTTTTTTCTTTTTCTTCTTTTTTTCAATTTTATTTTACCGCGCTTATTAATTATTCGGAAATTCACGAGAAAAAAACGACTTTGCTTTCAAATCAAATATCGTTTAGGACCTGAAGAAGTAGCTTATAAATGCTATCTATGTGAGCCAGAAAAAATAATAGCCTATTTCTCCTAAAAAATTGAAACATTCCTTATTGCGTTTTAGCAAGCGAAAAACAGCATGTTAATTGCATATCAGTGAGAATGAGGTTAACGTTACATTATTATGAAACCGCAGCAACATCCTCTTTAATATGCACAAACCACTATTTAGTAAGAACTGTATTTTATCTTCACTCAAGGGTACTTTTATCTTATGTTATAAATGTCGCTTAGTTTACAGATGTGAGCAAATATGCTTTGATTTTTATGGCTTGTCATGAGGTAAGTACTTAGCTTTTCATCGTTAAATTGGAACTCACTAAACAGCAAACGGCAGCACACGAATTTATGCGTATTTTATTTCAGAGTCTACTTTCATGTTATTTTAGTTTTCATTACAGATATGCTGATATTAAATACTGATGGACTAATCAGTGCCTTTGTTATTGCATTATGGCAATATAATGAAGAAAGTATTTGGGGTTTTTGCGAATGCGTTAGAAGAAACGTAGGCGAGAGCCAAATTTTGCACTTGCAGCCCAAGGTAACAAGTGATATTATAATAAAAGTTAGATGCAATAGTAGAGTTGAAAACTTTATGCGTCTTGGGTCTTCTCTTGAATTCAAGTAGAAGAGAGTCTCATGCGTTTTACGCCCAGTATGTTAGAGGAGTCTTGTCAGCCACCATGCAGTCATCGCTTTGAGAGTCCATGCGCATGCTTCTTTCACCATCTTATCTTACCATTATCACCTAATTCACTGATGCCCTCTGCAGGAATACTGGTACCAACCGCATGAATGGTACCAGGCGGTGATTCAACACCAACCCCGGCTGGCGTTGTGGAGCCAAATCTTTGGTTAGAGGGAACAAGGGGAGGCGGATTTGGCACCACCTGGGCGGGAGGGGGCATTCCATTTCCGACTGCTTGCTGTGTTCCTGGTGCAGAGTCAATTACCATGCCTGTTGGTGAACTCGACGCTACGTTTGAAGAGGGTAAACTTTCCATTCCCTGAGAGCAGTCCCTCCCGCCTGGTAGACGAAGATTTCCTGGAACTCTTGTTCCGGTAGTAGGCAACAGGTCCGGTTCAGGCTCTCCTCCGAGGCACTGAGGACCAGTTTGGTGCATTGAAGGTGGCTCAATACTGTTGACTGCTCCTGCGTTGTTGTTCATTTCGGCTGTGTCCACACCTTTCATTGTTCCAGGAGGAGATTCTACAGAAGTACCAGCAGCAGTTGTGGATGCCATATCTAATGAAGAGGAAATTCTTCTGCCACCTGTTGGCTTTAGCGCTTCTGATTCCTTTTCTTTCAATGCATCTTTTATGTCGCTTCCAAGTAACTTGGTCAAAAGAACTTTCATAAGGCCATTCGTTTGAAGCCCCTTGCTCTCCGTTGTTATGGAAACCCCCGCCGTATTTACTTCTGTTCCATTTTTGTTTTCTTTGTTGCTCGTTGCCTGTATATGTAACTTACCCAGGTTTTCGTCCTCCTTGACCACATGTTGTTGCGTGCCATGCGAATCGTCATCTTTTACGTTCTCATTATTTAAACTTATAAGAACTGCGTTCTCTTTTTTACCCTTGTTTTCATCCAGTGAAGGATCCGCTTTTTGTGATGTATCATCAATATCCTTTAAAACTTCTTGAAGAGAAATGCTTTCAGTAGGCTGATTAGTGGACTCTTCTTTGCTAGTTTTGTCACCATCCAGCTGAATACCTATTCTAAGCGGATTCAACTTCGCCTCCAATAACACATTCGAATCTGTTTTACCTTGCTGCTTATCCGGGTTTTGAGCTGATAAATCAGAAGCCTCTTTTTGTTGTGGTACGTGTTCACTGCTTTCATTTGAAGAACGCCCATCAAAAGAAATTTGCTTGCCGCCGTATAAGTCGTTAAGTAAGACGTCCTTTTCGCCCGATCCCCTACCGCTGACTTGAAAGGAAATGGGAACGTTTGCTCCCTTCATGATATCTAAAGATTTGCTCCTGGCATTAGCTCCAGTCTCTCTCATATTTCCCTGTTTAAAATCATTGGTTACAGTTAGAACTTGGGGTGTTTCGCCACTTTGGTTTCGACCGTGTTTTACAACTGTTATCCGAAGGACCGTATGTTTCCTCGTGTCTGGATGTTTGAGAGAGTTGTTTGCATTGGTGGCATTCACCTTTCCCCGGTCAAATATTAGTCTCTCTGTTCCATTGGATATCGATATGTTGTTTTCGACAGAGTATATTGCAGATCTTCGTGGTTTTCTTACCTCAGCCATGGCATCACCTATAGGTGGGCGCCAGTTTCCAGGAGAAATTTTTTCAAATGACATACACATACGTCCTTTCAACGTCTCTTATTGTTATCGCGAGGTAAAGCCGCTGATATTAATGCAGAAGTAACTTGCAGATGTGAATGTCAGCCGTCAGTTGTTCTTCTGTAAACATTGTTGGTAGTTTTTCAATCTGAATATAATTGATTTTTACGATTTTTTTCTACTATGGTTAGGTGGCATAAAAAGATTACCTTCGCCAACGTTTTGCGTTCCGCAAATGGGCGCTAACGGCTGACATCCACAGAGGTGAGGCAAATGAAGCGGTCTTACAGAACAACCAGGACCTACCCCTCCTACTCCTGTATAATAGAATTAGAATTTGACGGCTAGTTTTAGTGCAGTTTGTAGACTCCGGGTCTCAAAACATGAATCGTTCATTATTTCCCATCTTGGAATGCGGTTGAATGAATCACTACAGGTTGCAGCGAGAGTGTAACGGTTACGGGCATATTTCGACTTGCTGGCGTCGCGCACAAATTAAAAAGTGACGATTCGTGTATCGCGAATCCGGGTCTACATACTGGCAGTGCCGAAATGGACTGTAAATTGTTATCCTCTCCCTTGATGATCATTGAAAGCTTTTTGGATCAATTATCTGTTAAAAGTTTCCATTTTATTCCTCCTCTGACCTATTCCTTGAATATTAACCAAGGACGACTTACGGGGAGGCCAAGTATAAAGTTCTTGGCCAGTTTTCTGATACACTCAGGTACACGTAAGATACCCACGTATACATACACAGGGTCGAGGCAGTCTGAGAGTACTTAAACCCGTCAAGTTTCGTCCTTAGATTATTTATTGACTTGTCGGAGAGTATTTAATTAACATCTAATCTGGATGGATAAATAGGATCGCTCATGGAGGAAATAGGAGATGGTGAAATGAAAAGGAAACTTTAATAATCTGCAACTGTTTGACGAATCAAAAGTTGAACCTTTTTTTCGCCTGTATTTATAGATTTTTTTCGAGAATACAGTTATACGTGTTATATATTCTTGTGACTGACTGATTTGATCTCGGATAAACTTAGACGAAAGTTTCTGAGAAAACAGCCCTAGAAAAGGATCCACTCGAACGAAAAATTGTTCCTTGAAAGATTGAAATAAGCAGTTGCTCAACTCACCTCCTCCTCCACCCATGGCACCACCGACTGCGCCTGTGGAGCCTCCAACAGCGCCTGTGGAACCTCCAACACCCATTCCACCGACTCCACCTGCAACTCCTCCTAACAGAAAAATAAGAAAATGTATCGTGTCGTTTCTTTTTTTACACTGCAAAGTTTTTCTTGTTTTTTTTTTATATTTTTAGTGTGAAAGGATTGACAAAACGAAATGAACAGTAGTGCAAATAATGGGAAAAAAAAATGATTGTCTCCTAATCACGGGTTGCACGCCAATACCAACTGAGAAACAAAAGCAAATATGGCAAGGGAGGCAATTATTGATGAATTGTGAAAGTGTGTAAAGAATATCATACATTCTTAACATACCACCCCCTCCTATTGTTGCTCCACCTGCTCCAATGGATCCTCCAACGCCCATTCCTCCAGCTCCACCAGCAATCCCACCTGAATAGGAGAGATGAAAGCGATGGAAAACGTTCAGTCCACTCAAAAAAAGTTAATCGTCTCTAATATGACTATTTACCGAAAGACCACCAAATATTAATCAAGACATCACTAGATACACATGCAAAATCGGTCGTTTTGATATTGAGCTCAATTTCCCATCCCTTATTCTGTTGTCTGAATGGAAGTAGTTCAAAATTGGTTTGATGGACTCTTTAAACTTTCAAAGTCAATACCAAAGCTTTAAAACTTCTCAATGCATTTTCGAAAAAAACCTCATACGAGTGTGAGGTTCATGTGCTATGTTACTAAAAACCAGATCACTACACCCAGGGTACATAAGAAAGTTCAAATAGAAATGAACACAACTGCTCCGATAGGCTTCACCTTAAATTTAATAATAGTTTTGTGGTTGTCAATTCACCTGAAATTCCCCCTGCTGCTCCGGCAGCGCCAGCTCCACCTGCCATCCCTCCGGCTTTATTGAATAAAAGATATTGTTATTACGGGACGGATTTATCATGCCCTTTAAGTGTCCATAAGTTAAGTAAGACTGATTAAAATGTTTATAGATTTTTCTATATCAAATGCCTGACTGAAGTAACCTACGCAGCTTTTTTACGAACACTCCAGGACAATAAAAGAAGCGACTTCGCCCCTAAATGTTTCAAAGCGCACAAAAAACGTCCTGGTAATTACTGGGTACGTTATTCGATTATACTGTATTGCAATGTTAAACTCTGAAATCAATATCATGTTGTCTTGTAATGTTTAAGTAAGCCATGTAAAGTCACGATGAAGCTAAACGTTATGTTATATATTACAGTGAAATGTCACGTAACGTTGCAGTGTTGTAATTTGTAATTCTTTGTCGTAGCTGCAATTGTGTTCGGAGCCGCACTCGCTAGATATTGCTGCAGGGGTTTTGTTAGAAGTTGATTTGGAGGATATTGTGCATTAGACTTAGTTTCTATGCATTCTGCATAGGCATGACGACCTGCTGTGACAGTTTTAATTTGACCTTTTTGCATCAGTACAAATGTTAAAAATGCAACACTAGACCATTCTCATATTCACTTTGAGTATCGGAAACGAAGTTTTCATTTAAACGTTTCGTTTCCAAGGACATACTCCTAGAAAATTTGTTTTTATTTCTCCATCACTGAAGCATGAATTCAAACGTTTGTCATATTCATTCATCATTCATTTTCTACATGTTCCCTCACGATTCTCTCGATAAGCCTCCCTGAAAAGACCTTACTAACTCCATATGTCGCAGACGCCGATTCAAGCCAGAACTGTAACGAGAGAGTGTTCTAAACAGGCTAGGATTCAAAAGAAACACCGAGTGGGACTTCAAGTTGTTACTTGGAAGAGGAGAGGGGAAGAAGGGAAAATGATCATCGTTTTGTAAATGATGCTGAGAATAATGCAGAAAGTGGCCATGAAAATGAAACAACAAGACAATATATTGTAATATTTCTCTGCAAAAGAAAACTTTGATTCCGACTCCGCTTCCACCTAGGATAGGTCTGGGAAGATCTGTGGCTGTTGCAACTTCATCTACTGTTGCTACAGCGGTCATGCCTGTACCTGCAAGGGGCATTCGTTACGTTGTCTCCAAGATGCATATATTCCGTGAAACCCACGCCTATTCCACCTAGGCTTCCTGTCATTTCACCACTGAAGCTCAGCCTGGTGACAACCTAGTAAGTCCCGTTTACACCGTCTTCTGATCCAATGGTCCTACCACCCTAGTGAGGAACTTTTATTGGGTATGATTCCTAAGTGCAGTTGTCCCTCTGCACCACCCGTAGTTCCTCTTCTCGTACCTCATCCAGCAAGGACATCCATTCTCCTACCTTCTCCAGGAATGAATGTCAAGGTACCTGCAGTTGCATTATTGCCTACCCAAGTACAATTCTTCCCTCTCTTTTTTGTTCCAGCGGTCATTCCTGCACCTGTGGTGGCAGCCTTGCTATTATTTTAACAAAAATAGTTTCCAAGTGTTCCCCTTTGCTATAAATCCTGAATATCCGCCCGCTATTTTGCTCATGGCTGCTTTTGTGTGGCACCAAGCCTACTACATTTGTCACGGACCATGAGATACCCTCAAACACATATCGTTCACTTGTGGTATGGGTTACCAATGTAAAATCGACTCCCCTCCTTTACAGTATACTTTGTAAGTAGGTACAAAATTTACTTACCGGCAGCTACCTGACCAATCAGTGATAAAAAATGACTGGACAATGATACTAGCTGACTATAGTCGGGTGCTACTTGAATGTACGATTCTGAGTTAGCCATTGATATCAGCTGAGTTCTTTCAATAGAACTTCCTATCCCGAGACAGAAGATCTTGACCCCAGAACTTTTCAAAGCTCCTGCTACGCCTGACACGTCATCTGTTGATCTTCCAGCGATCATCACCAACAGGACTTTGATAGCATTTTGACGTGATTGGGCGAATAATTGAGTTTGACATGTACTTAAACCTTGACCTGCAGCACACGCTCCACCAATCATTTTCATTCCTATAATAACTGCGTCAATTTCAGATGCTGAGCTGTACTTGCTGAAGTCAAACGACACCGAGGCGGACGCGCCAAACAAGACCAATCCTATGCGAAATGCCGCTGATGAAATGGTAACGCCGCTGTAGATTGCTCTAACAAAGTTTAGACACCGCTGGAAATTTGCATCATCACCTACACTGCTAGAGGCATCAAGCATGAAAGCCAGATCGACTGCTCCTTTAAAAAAGCATGTTAATTTGTTTTAAAACGACGATTTTTTGAAGCCGTTATTTATCAGCATCCTCATTGACAAGATAAATGTCAAGGAATAAATATCATATTTTTTTCACGTCGTAATGCGAGCCTCTTGTACTCAGATATAGGAAGGGGATACTAAGGAGTATTTGTTATCATTCTGTACCACGGCCTGCTTCTTCTTGTTTTGCCTTTCCGAGAGTCGTCTTACGTGGAAGCAGACTTGTTTGAAAGCCCTGCTTACCTATTTCGCAAACAGAGTTACAAAATATTGGCCATTTAAAGCGATACGAAGAGTTTCATATCTTTAGCTGTTATGTATGTTACAACACTGAGACCATCCAATCCGTCCATCGTCTGACTAATTCACAGTCTTGACCAGTAAATACAATACTATCACAAATTCTGGTGTGTCGACACCCACCTTAGTAGTTAAAAATGGCTAACGCTCCAAAATGTATGTTGATCTTGATGAGAATGCTATAAAAGTCACCAATTAATACTGCAAATTCGAATTTTTCTTTTTGATGCAGCAGGAGAGAACAGTGTATCCAGAATGCAATTTTCACATTCAGTTAGTTGGAATTTTAGTCACACGTTTTTGGTACAGTGAAGCTTCGTTTCATTTTGAGTACAAAGTCAAGTTCGTTCGAGCTGTGATGTCAGAAAATGTCTCGTATCGTAAAGATCTTGTCAAATGTAAATATGGCTTTATGGTTGGCGTCAAAATCAACCTCGTTAGCACACCTACCCTAAATGGCACACTACCCGATATAATTTGTATCAAAACTCATATATGCAAAGTGAACTAATGCACCTACCTGCTGTTCCCCCAGCTGTTCCCCCAGCTGCTCCTCCAGCTGCTCCTCCAGCTGCTCCTCCAGCACTTAAACCGCCAGCTGCACCGGCGGCTCCTCCAACTGTTCCGGCGGCTCCTCCAGCTGCTCCTCCAGCTAATCCTCCAGCTAATCCTCCGGCGGCTCCTCCAGCTCCACCGGCAGCTCCTCCAGCTGTTCCACCGGCGGCTCCTCCAGCTGCTCCTCCAGCTGCTCCTCCAGCTGCTCCTCCGGCGGCACCTCCAGCTGCTCCTCCGGCGGCGCCTCCAGCTGCACCGGCGGCTCCTCCAGCTGCTCCGCTGGCTGAAATTCCTCCAGCTTATTTAAGATAGAAATTAATCACATACGCCTTAATCTGTTTTGGAAAAGTTTAGAATACTTTGGCAGCCTTTTTAGACCTGACTGAAGCTGACTCTATAAGATGCCTTTCCAGACGGAAACCACGTGGAAGACAACTATTTTGCTTCTCAGTACACCACTATCGTTCCAAAAAAGTCTTATTTTATATTATTTAAAACATTGTCGCAAATATGTAATCCTTACCTAATCACGATTTTATAAAGTGTTCCGGGACAGATAACAATTGTTTAATGTGTTGTGCGATGTTTTGCGAACAGCGTTGGTAATCTTATCGAAATGGATCTTTATTACTTCGTGTTCGCAGTTAATCATATTCCTTTCTCACCTGATCCAATTAAGCTGATAAACTGCTGCGAGAACCCAGAGAGTTCTGCAAACGATCCTACTGAGACAAAATACTCGGCGGAGGAAGCCATTTCTTTCATCTGACCCGCATCGACGCTTCCTCCCATTCCAAGACATAGGATTTTAATACCACTTTGTTTCAGTGCACCAGATGAGCTTGAGACGGAGTCTGTTGATTTTCCTGCCATCATTACTACAAGAAGGCGCGCAGAAACACTCGCCCCAGCTGCTGCCCCTCCACTTACAGCACCACCACCGGCAGCGGCACCTCCACCTCCCCCAGCGCTTGCAAACAAAGACGATTGACATGTGGAAAGCGCCGCTCCCGCGGCACAAGATCCTCCGACGAGTTTAATCTATAGGTTTAAAAAGAAGAATCAACAGTTATCTTTATACGCAGCTATTACAAAGCAATTTAAGCTGCGAGACGATAGCACTCAAAATTTTTCTTATTTTTAAAAAAATCCCTTCCAGTTTGATCACCTATTTGTCAAAGTTTATCTATAAGATAATTCCCTTTTAAACCCGGTCTCTTACTTTGATCACCTCTTTGACTGGGATTTATCTCCTGTGAGACATTCCTTACCGCTTTCGGAAGGCCAGGTGTCCTTATTTGATCCGTAGTGTTTTAAATTTAATCTGAATTGTACGCGGGTATATTTATCCTTGAGTTTCACGACAAGTGTCCTCGTCATTCTCTCGCTAAATCAAACTAATTTACACTTTCAGATGCAGTGTTATGGGATAATGCAAATAAAATAGTACACATACCTGACCAAGGGCCGTTTCAACTTCAGAGATTGAAGAATATTTGCTGAAATCAAATGCAACTTGAGCTGAACTTCCAAATAGGACTAAAGCAAAGCGTATACCGCCACTCATACCAAAGGCACGAAATATTACCAAGATGAATTCAATACACAACTTGAAGTTTGCTTCCCCTTGAATGCTGTCCGAGGCATCCAACATGAAGGCCAGATCACAGGAACCTAAAAAGTATGAAAGTTCAACCAGTTACTAAACTGGAATAGCAAAGGCTTGAATCAATATCTAACTCAGAACTTTTACGTTAAACTTATTATTATTTTTATGACAAGCAAAATAATTGTAATAGTGGAGTGCTGGCGTTTTGCGCATGTATCATGTATAATTATGATGCTTTTTACACATGCAGCGCTTAAAGAGGAATAAGAAAATAGAGAAACTTCAATAGACCCACGACTAGCCTATGGGAATAAATTTCATCTTCAATGAAGTTCCCTCAACCGTAACTTGCTTTTTCAGGCCCTCTAGTTGGGTTGATTTTCGGATGTTAATGGAGCCTGTCTTAAAGCATGATGTCTATAATAGAAGTACGATACCGTCAGTTCAGTTATCTAGCTAGTAAGTTAAACAAAAACACCAAATAAGCAAAATCACAAACAACATCAACAAAAACAACGAAATCAAAACAAACACGATCGAGGATGGAAAGGATGACAAGCATAATTCGTATGAGTCCATACCTCCGGCACCTCCGGCACCTCCGGCACCTCCACTAGCGGTAATGCCGCCGGCTATAATTTCAAGATTGTATCAAATCAGTGCACGACTAAGCATAAAGTTAAATACTTCAGTTCTAGCAAACGATAATTCAAAGATAAGGAAAAGGAGGGGTTGCAGCGTTGTAGCATATCATAGGCTGTTTTCAATGATATTTTTGTCGGATTCATGTAAAATCGATGAAGTTTTAAAAAAATCCTTTTGAACATATGTGCATATCAAAGAACACGAAATTCTGAGTGAAGCTTTAAATTTTTTTTTTCGATGATCCCTTGGTTCATAGTAACCCTGCTTGTCTGCACTGAGGGAAAGCCTAGAAGAAATTAAAATCAGGGTCGAAGGGAAAGTGAATAAAAGGGGAAAGTTTCTGAAGAAATTGTGGTGCTGCGTCGGTGGGAGGGTATAACAGGGTTATTCAATATCATCAACTGAGTTTATAACGTAAATTAGCCACCATTAAGAGTTTAAAAGTGACGTTTTGAGCGTAAGCCATATGTCATTCGCTCCGACCAAAAGCTAACGCTCGAAACGCCGCTTTTAAACTCTTTAAGGTGGCTAATTTACGTTATCAACTCAGTTGATAATACCAAATTACCCGAAAAGAAAGTGTCCCTAAATTAGAATCGAAGAAACAATAAAGAATAGGGACAAACTCTCAAAAACCTTGAGATATTAGTGAGGTAATGCTTCCGGTAATGCCAGCTAAACCTCCATACGAAGCGGCGGTAAGGACGTAGGATGAAGAGAATGCCATGGAAGTAAGTTGTGACTGAACAAATGAGCTGCCCATTCCAACAGCAATTATTTTGACTCCGGCTGTTTTCAATGAGCTAGCGGCGCTTGAAACGTCATCAGTAGAACTTCCAGCAATTAGAACAATCAGGACACGTGCCTTCCCTCCGGCGTCACCCTCGAAGAGAGATGACTTGCACTGAGAAAGTGCAGCACCTGCAGTACAGCCACCGCTCATTAATGTGACACTGCCAACTGCCGAGTCTATCTCTGAGATTGAGGAATACTGGGTAAATCCAAAGACCACCTAAGGTAAAAAGAATTTTGCAAGGTCATGAACTTATTAAACTAGGATATGTGTAATTTTCTCACTTGAGCAAAAAAAGATTACATTAAATAGAAACACTTATTCATTGAAGCCCTACAACATCACTTGTTGAATCCATGGCGTTTGATAATTACTCGAAACTAAAGATGGCCGTCAGTTACACTCGTATCTATCGCGATGACGTTATGCATTTAGAATCCAACCTCTCAACAAAGTTTTGTATTTCACTTAGCACACTTGGAAAATCAACACTATGCTTTCACGGTTTTGTTTTTGATTTCCTCGAAGATACCTCTTGACGGCGGCCACTTGTATTCTCGTGGGTAAAATTTACATTCAACAAATGTTTTGGCAACTATAAAATCTTTTGCTCCTTTTTTAGATAAGGGGTGCTTGACTCGATGCATAGCACCTTTAGAGGGTAACCTTAATTCACTTTTACCTTAGCACTGCTTCCAAACGTGACTAGACCATAGCGTATTCCACCGCCAAGAGTGAATGAGTGAAAAATGCTAATGACAAATTTCATGACGAGTTGAAAGTTCGCATCGCCACCAATACTTGATGAAATATCCACCATGAAGGCAAGATCACATCCTCCTGGCAAAAAAACAAAAAAAAACGGTCAGGAAGATTAAAAATTTTCTAATTGCTTGATTGTTGTATAATGTTCTCACCATCCTTCAGTCGATGCTGCCCGGTTTGCAACGCAACTATAACATCACATAAAACCTTAATTCAACATAACTTTATTTGAACAAGCAAAGGCTTTCTGAACATTTTTTTAATACCAAAGTCAAAACTCATAACTAAATGGTGGCATAGAACCGTGGCATTGAACGGGAGGATCGAACAGTTTACGCCCATACTCTTAGATCCACGAATGAATTGTAGAATGAATATCATGAAAGAATGGAAAAGGGTAAACAAAATGAAAATACCTCCAGCAGAGGGAAAAAATCAGACGTGAAGAGACTCGCATAACGAGCTCTAGTTTTCTTAGTAAGACCCAATTACTGTAATTTTTGAAAGAAGCTACACACCTCCTCCCGAGGCACCAGCAGCTCCCCCAGCTGAAAAAAAATGAAATTGGTAGGTAAAATTAAATGATTATCAAAAATAAACAGAAGAAATATGCAACTAAATTAGACAAACCGATGTCACGTATTATACATCTATTTAATGCACAGCATTGTTAGCTTGACGAGGGAGTCGCAATATCAGTGGTAGGGTATGTTGGGTTTTGGTCATAGCTGTATCGTCTATTGGCCTCTATTTGTTCCTCGTCCACTGTCATGAGCTAATGAGATGTTTATATGATCCATTAGGATTCCCTATCCAATGTAAACATGTCACAGATTATTTCCGTTATCTGTGCGTCATTTGTATGGTGCGATACCATGACGATATCCTAGGATCCATTGTCAAGGAACGTGTCTTGTCTCAGTTGTATTTCTGCGTCCCTTTAATATATGTTTTGTCGTAATGTAGTGTGATCCACTTGCCCAATGTGGCGGGATAAAGTTCGAATTCTCCATTTCTTCGTTGTGAACGTAGATCATCTTGCGTCAAATTCTTGTCTTGTCACGGAAAGTTACTCACCGCCGCCTCCGGCTGCACCTGATGCACTAGCAGAGCCTCCATGAACGGAACCAGAAACAGAACCACCTCCAGCAGACATTCCTCCCGAGGAGCTGCCTCCACTTGTAGTAGTGGTCTGAGACATTGAAAAACCACCACCTCGTCGGTTGGCAAGGCTCTTCATGAAATCCCTCTGCAAGTCTCTTACTATACGTTGGATGGAAGTGTTGCGGGTCAGGTTTAAAAGCTTGAAGTTTTCAGAGTGGGACTCGACATGATTGGGTAATTTACGTTAAGACTGGGGAAAAATTGAAGTATACTTACTTGTTCCCTCGGCGGCAGCCTTTACAGCAGCTGTATGAAATTACAAAAAACTGTCAATAATAATGTTCAAATTGAAAACTTCATACTTCAAACAGAAATTTGAAAATTCTAACATTGTCACAAGGTCTGTTCTTAAGTCAGTAAACCAGTCTGTCTCTCAGTCTATTTTTCAGTCATTTAGTCAATGTAAGATGACAAACCGTGGAGAGAGCCCAACGATATCAGAATCACATGATTTTATGGGCCAGCCACGTGTTACTTCCATTTCTTGGAAAATGGCGAATTCCAAGCTGTAATTCTTTTCTCACCTTTGCACAACGTTTTCTGCATTGCTGTAACTATTGTGTCCATTCGGGGGAAATCAACTGTAAACACGTGTTCCGCTTTTGGCTCACTTGCCATCGCATTTAGTTGTGCTAATCTAAAATGTGTCCCCAGGCCAACAGAGAATATAACCACCCCTGTGTTTCTAAGTTCTTCGGACGGTTTAACTACGTCGTCGTTGGATGCGCCGTCAGTTAGGACAACAAGGACGCGTGGCACGCCTTGTCTAACGTCATTAAATAGTTTGTCTGCTGCCATTGTGAGTGCGGCGCCAGTTTTTGTCCTGTAACCTGGATATTTTATGCGAGTTATCGCAGCTTCTAAATCTTGCTGCGTGCTATATTGTTTGAAGTCAAATTGAAGTTCACTTCGAGACGAAAATACAATTGCTCCAACTCTTGTGTCCGTGGGAGAAACGACAAAAGCTTTCGTAAGAGATTTCACAAAATCCAAACATCTTTGAAAATTCCCTTTCCCGTACATCTCTATGCTTCCAGAGCCGTCTATGAGGAATCCAAGATCTATTTGGGTTTTACAGGCTGGGCAAAAGATAGAAGGTTAGTGGAACCATAACTTCTGACGGCTTAATTCGATCTTCACATATTAAGCTTTTTCTCAGGTACACCTGACAGCCTTTTGATCCCCAGACGTAATATTCTGGCTGGGGAGAAGCACTTTAAGAGCAAAATAATTTTTGTTTAAAAAAGTACACAAACACAAGGGTTCGAATCTGAAATTCTCCGTCGATCTTAGCCGGGTGGCCTAAAAAAATCATATTACAAATATTTCAATACCAATCTCAAGGTATGGCTCAAGGAGACAAAGTTCTCTGGCCTTCGGTGATAGAAAACACTATTTTTACGGTGAAATAAACAACCCAGTGCCTCGAAATCCTAGTCGAATAATGAGGCTGACGTTGAAGGGATTGAATTCTGCTTTGTTTGTTCTGCTGTGTTTGTCATATTCGTTTTATTTTTTTGTCTTATATCGTTGTCACAGGTGTCTTCTTAATATGTAGCATTCCTGGTATATTTATAACTTTCCAAATAAAAACAACAATTTGATTAAAACTGCACTTCATGTGGGCTTCTAAAATGTAATCTGAACTTCATTTTAAACGCAGTTATATTCATATATAATGCATGATGATAACTGCCAACATGTCACTATTTATATTGGCATTTTACCTTTCACTGAAGATACATCAAAAGGTCGTGGAATCAAACTGTTTTGTGTATTAAATTGCCTCTTTACTCCCACATGACCGGATAATGTTTGAAAGTGAGATTTTTCTTTTGAGTGTTGCTTTCGTCTTCTCTCCAGAGGTGATGACTTAATGTGAGGCGGTTTGATGGAATAAGCGGCTTTCAAACCAATTCTTTCGATGAGAAACCTGCTCTCGGCGTTCTGAGCTTTTAGAGCTAAAAAAAAAAAAAAGAAAAAAGAAAAAATCTATCAAAGTGGGATACACTCTCATCATCCCGCTGAGCATATAGCCAACAACAACAACTCCCCAGACCAAGCAAGTTTCCTCTGAAGCTTCCAAATACTATGATGTGCGATCAGTACGATTAGTTCTTTTATAAAACTAACCAGCAGGACCTTTACAAAACAATGACTGTATATTGAAAATGCGTGGGTTCCTAAATTATAAGGGAAGACTAGACTTATACTTTAGTTCATATGTCAAGGCGGAAGGGAGGCTACACACACTACCTTAGCTAACGATGGCATTTCGAATGAATTCTTTAAGCTACCAACATTTTCTTTTTTTCTTTTTGAATCAAGTATCACTTTTAGTCCGTAGTTAGCTTTTTGAGGAGACGCAAAAACGATGATGAAAGAAACATAAAAAAGCCTGGTCGCTCGCTGCCTCCTGTTCAGAGTTCATGGATCCTAGGAGGTACCACATGCTCTATAAGGAATTTGGTTAAGGTCAGATGATTCACCAGAAAGCAAACCGAAATAGATGTGCTCGCTTGAAACTGCATCAATTGAGCTAGTACTAACAGTACTTCGCAGCGATTGTCTATTGTTGCGAAAACAGTTGAATCGACAGGTCTAATTGGGGTATACGGAACACTAATGCAACCTTTTTTTTTCCAATTTCTGGTTGCAGACAAAAGAGAGCCTTCGACGAGGTATAATTTCAATTTGCGTTGGTCGAAATTTCGTTGCTTATCTGAAACGCAGTCCGAATTAAAACCTTTCCTGTGATAAGATCATACACTCCTTTAGATCTAAAAGCAGTGACACAGATTTAACATATACCGGCAAGAGAGCATAATCGTTGCGCTTAACTAGTGGCGTCTAATTTTGTTTCTGAATATACTGTAACAGTAAATGGCACCAGCGGTAAAATTTAGCCATTATGGCACAATAAGATTAAACCTGAAATTAAAACATTCAACAGCTAATCATAAGTCAAATAGTTGTAATTTGATACTTTTCTCTTTATTGAAAATTAAGCGTGTTGTTACTGATTAAAAAGTAATTACATAGCATTTCGCTGAACAATAGTCGCCTTAGAATCTTGACCTTACCTCTTTTCAAGGCACTAGAAACTGTTGAGATCTTAAAGATGACAAGGACGTTCCACGCCAATACGAAAAAAAGGTTAACATTCATTCCTGTTGAGAGAAACTCAAATAACACCTTTCCAAGACTAAACAAATGTTCGATCGAAGATGAACGAACAAAGCATAGTTAAAATTGGCTAGTACCGGGTATCATTTTACCACGGAGAAGATGAAGCCACTTACTTGAACTCAAACTAAGCTCACGTCGATTTAAAAAATTTCCTCTTTCGTTTTAGAGTCACAAACAAGATTAGGTTACGCCATGTTGAAGGCTACCCTGACTGTTGTTTTGTCTTCATGGACCTAAAGTACAATAAAGATTCGAACAACGATGCATATTTGATCAAGGCCGTATTTTACAGAAGACGGCACCGGCGCCTCCCTAAGTACAAGAGCATTTGATATAGTTGAAGACTCAGCGATTGAGTGGCTCTTGCAGGTACATGAAATTCAATCGGTTTTGTCTTTGTGAGGTGGTCTTTTATTACTGTTGAAGCGTGTGTTTACACTTCACGGGTGGTTAACTTCCAAACTCGCTCCAATTACTCACAAAGCGGTTCGTCAAGCAGATATAATTTAATAAAATTAGCTTAATTTAAGATTCCTTTGACAATAAAAGGCAATTCATGATTTTGTTATCTTTGATGCGGTGAGTTTCTTATTACATAGCAGAAAAAACTCAACTTTAAATTATATTTCTTTTAGATAGTTTCTTATACAGGAACTTCATTGCAATGGATCTAATTTCGATGACGGATCTTCACTTTTTATTGGATTGTGACTGGTTCAATTGTATGCTATTTCAGGAAATGATGAGATAATGATAAAAATGACAGCTCGATTAAGAAATGTGTGAATTCTCTGTCGACCCTTGTTTTCCAACCTCTTTGCATTTTCAAATCACATTCGTTTGCATATCCTAAGTAAACAAGCTTCCACTTCCACGATATAACATCTCGAAGTTTAAGATGCCATGTTATATTCACAAACGATCACCGTAGAAAAGTTGGCGGACCAACAGGTGCGCTCGGCCAAGCTCAGAGTCGCTGGCAGAATTGATTTTGGTATCCGATACTGAAATCTCATCGTATCTGAAAGACATAACGCATTTTCATCAAGACATCCTTTTCGAGGGAGTAATGTAATAGATGTTACCCGGTACTGAATAGGATTCATTTCCTCATAAATGATTTCAATAGTTTTACGGTGGTTTCGTTCTCTCCTCAATCTGCTACGGACGGCCAGTACTAATTGTTAATTACAAAGCGGTCTCCATTGTCATAGACGGTCACCTGGCGAACTGGTACTGACTACTTCTGCTCGGTCATTTTTACAAATTGCAATTATGAAGTATATAAGAGGTTTATTTCTTTGAACGAATATCACTTTTGGCTATGATTAGATAACTGTCATGTAGCTAAAAAAATTGCTGTTCCCATGAGAGGACAAGGAACTTTCAAAGGGCTCACTGGTGAAAACACTTTCAAATCAGTTCGACGAAAATTATTAAGGAAATAACTGTTTGAAATTGAGTCCGTATATTAAGAAAATGTTTCCAATTTTGCCATCAAATTCTCTCTTCAGGCTTGTCTCGTAGCGCTGGTTTCTATCCGGGTAGAAGGGTTAAATAGGATTTCACTTTCGTCAAGTATTTTGAAGGACGAACGGCGTCAACATTATTCAAGCTGCGCGTTCATCCCAGACTCAGCAATAATTAATTACCTTTTCGTTAGCCAGTCTACCGCTTCTTATACTCAATTGTAGTGACTAACAGTGTGATCAGGCGCTGCATAAAGTTCAAGGGCTTTGTTGCTCACCCTTTGTGGAATAATGGTTTAATACGAGGAACCTCCATATTTGTCCGTTTGTTTGTTTGTTTGTCTATCTACTTGCCTGTTGGCTGGCCCGAGAGATCGACTTTATCGCTCAAAGAGCGCATCTGATTGAGTATCAGATAACAAAACCAAAGTACATGTAATCACAACAACCAATTAAAGCAAAAGAACTATTGCAAAGAATTCAGAGTGAAACAGCCTTAAGCGCCGGAAAAATACCAATGACCAAGTTAAGATTTGTTTTAGTCTTGAATTTTGAAAATTGATGTAAAATGTGATATAAACTTAGCGGATGCATTTATTACATTGTTCGAAAGGAAAGCATACACATGGTAAGTACACGTAAAATAAATAAATAAAATATTAAAAATAATAATAACCTTACAGGATTGATTTTGCCTAGATAATCCTGTGATCTCCAGAAATGAAAGAAGTCGCAAAAGAACTGTAGATGAAAGAAGTTTCATCACTTATTCTATGAGCGCGCAGTGGACATTAGATAGTAGAGCACCGATTTGCCGATAGCCATTATCGCATATCCAACTAGCGTGAATGGAATGATTGTTATACTAAATTCACCATGCTTTGGGAAATAACCACGCTATACGTGCACCACTTTAGGACCGGGTCTGTGTTAACATCCAAAGGAAAAAGATTTACAATGCCAGGTTGAGTATTGAAACTATATACATGACTTTCAAAATCTAAAAAAGTTTCAGGGTATTCCTCAATTACATCATTTCGTAGCTAGCTAAACTTGTATGTTGAGTTCCAGCTCATCATCAATCAGACATAAGTGTCATGTGGAACGGAGAGAGGGAGGCGATGGAGGACGACTTTCATAGTACAGATGTTCGTATCAGGTGAAAAACTATTAATCAACCAGCTGGAGAGAGGTAATCCCGAGGAAAATTGCGAGAAATTTAGAAACCAACCTAAACTAGTCACGGATTCAAGGATTTCAGGCTGAGACTTCTATGTTATAAATTTAGAGGGTAACAATTTTTAAACTTATCTATTTAATTTAGATTTTTTTGCAATCTAGATTTACCTAGATGGTCCCCCAATACCTTTAGTAAGACGAGGGTAAGAAAAGTTATATGTAGGAGCATAAAAACGGATGCTGATCACGTCAAAATTTAAGTCTTTATTTCTTATTCAGAATTAACTTCAACAGAGATAAGAAGACATTTAATTTCCCATTTACGTTGAGGGAAAGAGATCTATTAAACCGTATCTATAGAAAATCCCTTATTTAATAAACCAAACGAATCTCAAGCCAAGAAGGAAGAAAAAACAAAAGAGCTTTGAAATAGGCAGCACTGCCCAGTCCGATAATATTTGAACCTAAAAAATCTTCGCTTTTTATATCGCGATTGCACAGAGAAACTTAGAGCAGTGTGTCTCCTGTATTTTTGCATTTGTTACAAGAAAGCCTTTCAAACATATTCTTTTAATTATAAGCAACGTTCGGGAAATGTTCGAAAAGCCTAGGAGCGTTCCCCCAAAAAAGTTCTCTTTTCTAGTTTTTAGCTCTGTCGCTTTTGTTTTTATAAGATTCGATATTGTTTTTATAAGATATCGATTTGATTCGATATTCCGGGAACAAATTAAGAATATACTGAAAAAAGCCATTTATCTTAGTTTTTTTCCTCGTGTCCACCCTCCCCCCTGAAAGATCATTGATCAACCCGTCTGGTGTCGACGTCCGCCGATGAGGCGACTATAGTGGACATCGCGTGGTCGATGATGATAACGACGTGGCAGGGGATGAATAATGAAATGACGTGAGCAGTCGTACTTGTTTTCTGTTGAAATGATTGCGCTTCTCTTCTTTCGTAAATAGCTGGGACAGTATCCACAGTAATCCCGATAACCTTTAATGCAATGGTCATTCTAGTTAGTATGACTGGTTGAAAAGTTACAAAATTTGTTTACGTAATTAATAAAGCACCGTGAACTAAGCCAAACCGTGATAAATAGACTTGTCGACTTACCGCAATAACAAGGGCGACAATAATTCCTGAAAATACCTGGAAAGAATTCGAAGGAAAATGAAAACAAAAAGTTGTTTATGGTTGAACAAAGTTATATAGGACGGTATGGCCCTTTGCGTGTAATGAAATGGAAATCGAATCGACAAAATTTCCTTTTTACCTCTCAAAATGTTGGTAACAAGTAGTTCTGCAATCTTTCCCATTTGTTCGTAGCTACTCTTGAAGACATGCGCATTATAGGGGTAACTGGCCATGGCATTGAGTTGCCAATTACTAGATACACTCCCTACTCCAATACAGAAGATTTCTACTCCATAAGATCTGATCTCCATCGATGGGGTAGCAACGCTGTCAGCGGAGTTGCCTGCAACCACCATAATAAGCAGCCGTGGGACATGGTTCCTCCACGAGCTGTCAAATAAGAAATGCTTGGAGACCTCCAAGCCACGTCCGAGATAGAGTAGCTGCTTCCCAGCCGAGTTTGTCCCGGGGTATTTCACTGAAGACAACGCCTGATCTATGCTAAACATGTCAAAGTATGTGTAAAAGTTGAAGACTACTAAATCTTCGGAGGAGCACACGACCAGCCCAACACGAGTTTTGTAATGGCCAAGTGGGAAGGCATGGATTACAGCGCTAACAAACTTAATAATTTGTTTGAAGTTCTGCTCACTTCCCACGGCGGAGGATCCATCTATCATAAATCCCAGGTCAAGGATTACTAGACGAAAAGAAAAGAAGCAAATTAGAAAAAAAAAGAAGCTCTGGTGTCCAAATACATCAACAGCACATTACGAGAAGCAACCTTTAGAAATATTGGTCAGCAAAAAGTGATTTGTAAAATACATTTATGCTGACTGCATGCATCGGTTTCCAGGAATGGGGATTATTTTATTTAAACCATCAAAGAGGGGATTAGATCCTCTCTGCCCCTCAACTGCGCTGTTGATAAAAGTTTTATGCCGTTCGTTCACCTTTTGGACATGATTGCTTCATATGGTTGTATGATAAGTGTTTAGGAAATGACTGTATACGAAAGCCACGTTCGAGCTGGTTAAAAAAATCAAAGCAGACGGCGAGCGAACACAAAGACAACAGAAAAAAAAAGCAAATAGATAATAAAAATTCGAAACATGAAACATTCGAAAAACTTATAAGAAATAAGAGCCAGCTAATGGGCTTCCTTCGTGAAACTTCATGTTAAATATCATCGCGGGTTTTTTCGATCAATCAGTAGCGTTAATTATCTATGGAAAAAAGTTTGAATCAGTATTTGAGAAGTAATTGAAATAAGGACTAACTGTCTGTTGCCCCTGAATTTCCACTGAAGGTGATACCACCAGCTGTAGGAAAGAAGAAATTACTAGATTAGTACTCAAAGTCCTTGCCTTTTTTTGAGATAAACACACCAGCAGCGAATCATCGTTCAAAATTTGTCTGTTATTGACGGAAAAAGTTCATCGTTGGACTTAAAAAAAAAATGTGTAGCTAATTTAAATTATATTTGCACAAAATTATCTGGCAGATGATTATAGAAATGCAGCTCC